AACTGAAGTGTTAATGTCCTTATTTACTCCTAGTTTTCCCATAAGACTTTGAACTCCTTCCTTGTACTTCCATCCATCCCCACTAGTGTCACTTTTTCCCCCTTTCAGTTCTACCTCTAAACTTTAAACCTCCTGATTATAACAAAATACACCTATAATGACCTTGATCTCCCTACTGGAAACTGTAAATATAGATACTCAATCACCCTCAAATCATTCAGCAACACATACTTTCTCAATGCATCTGCTCCTAACCGATTTAAACTCCTACCATATCTTCCCACTAAACTTTAAAATGTCCTTCCTCACTGTTCTCTCTCTGTCTTACTACTAACTTTGAAACTTAGCTTACTGTCTCAGAGTCCCTTCAACCTAGCCTACCCCTAACTTATTTTAATCTAATCTTTTCTCTCATAACATTTAAAACCTTTTCCCCTGATCTATTGACAAAATCTCTTACCACCAAATTTTTGGAATATGTGATTGGGAAAGTTCCCCACCTGCTTCTGACTCATTACACACAGACTTGGCAAAACCGACTAAACACCTTTTAGCCTAACCTCAAATCTCTTAGTGTAAGAATGTAACCCAAAATAACAGTCACCCGTATTAAGTTTTTTCCCAGACAGATTGTCTAACAGGCAATCTAATACATTATCATCCTTCCTATGATATTTATCTTTTAAGCAAATGACTCCCCAAAAACCCTACTTCTTAAAATAGTCTACCAGACAGTCAGTCGTCTAGTGTGCATCTTATTGTACAATTCAATTCTCTTCCCAACACTACAATAACAGTATCTTCTAATATTAGTACCTTAAGAGTAAGTACTACCTCAAATCCCTATCCTAATTAGTTATCAATTAGTGAGATGTTTAACCTCTTTAGGCTGAACACAGATAAGTTTACCCCTATTCACTATCACTTCTAATGGCCGGTTGTTTCAACTGTTAGCTATTTTCTCTTCTTCTCTAATCGAGGCTCTCAGCAATGCACCCCTTCATCTCTTCTAGAACAGGTGATCTTTTTCTCCTTCATCTTCCTCTGTTGTTTTCTCCTGTTCTTGTTGCATGAACATGTAAAGTACCCAATCTGTCCATAATTATACCAGTCTTCTGAAAGTTGCTGAAAGTGTAACTGAAATATTCCTCCTTCTTCTTTGTTCTTCTCCCTCTCCAATTCTGTGTCTGTCCAGAAACTGACAGTCGATATGGAACATCTGGTCCCCCCTTGGCGGGTACAATTGCCTTTGATATTGTTCAGTTAAAGCTGTAACAGTGATTGTTGATTTGATTCACTCTGATTCTTCATAACCAACACTTCTTTTCTTCTTCTCCACCACCAGTTATAAGTTGTATTTGATAGAGTTTTCTTCGTCCGGTTCTTCTCGTTGTGGACCTATCAGTATTCTTCAAAAGGTTATCTTCTAAGTTCTGTTCTTGAAATATCATCTTCCATCATCTTCTTACTTTTCTTCATCAGAACTCGAATATCTTGTCTTCTTCTTCGTTCAACTTTCATCCGAGATCAAGTCTCCAGTATCCTTCTTTCCTCTCTTGCCACTTCCTTCTGATCACAGAGTCACCTCCACCCATGGCCTCTCATCAATCACTCTCATCGTCATCATCGTCATCTCCTTAAGTTCCCAGACATCTCGGTTTTCTTCCGTCTTCTGGATTCATCTTCATCGTTGTTTCTGCTCGTATTCGTCTTCATCTCTGATGCCATAATCACCCTGCTGGATGATGTCTTTCTGCTGAATCCATGTGTGAGAAAGGTGTACTAACTTCTGCCATTAGTCTCTCCTAACACTACTCTAACCCTACTTTGATTAAAAAATGACTATTTTAATCAATTTCCCCCTATATCAAGCCCTTTATATTCCTTTATTGTGAACTATCCTATTTTAGACTATTTAAGTTATAGACTTCCCCCTGTAATTCTTAATATAATCTAACAACTCCAAATAAATCCAAATAAGTCAATTAAAAATCATGAATAATTAAAACCAATTCTTATTCCTATATCCTATGTCACCAACTCATCCATTAGTGTTAGCTATCTTACCACAACCCATCAACTGCAAGTAAATGAAGTTAGTAAACTTCATACTACAATACCCATAAACAAAGCCTTTAACCCCTTGCTCTAACCCCTAATTATCATAAATTTACAGAAGAATCCTCAATCCATCCTGGATTCCCAACACATCTGTAATTAAACCCCAGTGATACACATAGCCTCCAAAATGCAATTTTTAATGAAATAGTATTTGCCAAGCCCCTTGTAAAATCGTCATAACATCACATATCCTGTTAGGGAAAGATTTTGTAACCATAATCAGTACCAAAACCTTTTTGACTTGATCCTCTACCACGTGACGTGATCACTTCCTGTATCTCCTCGCTCCTCTCGCTTAGCGTTCCTCTCATATGACAGAAGAACAAAGACACAACATAACATTTTAGTCGTTAATGCAGTCACTGAGTATTTCCAACCATTCAATATTCGTTTGTTCTACATGATTCACTGTAAGACTTTAACTCAGGACTAATTATAGATCGCCCAAAAACCTTTTGCTTTCAATCCGTCATTTAATTATTTAATTCAATCTATTATAATCCGTTATCCTATATTTAATTTATAAATTCAATAGGCTACAAAACAAGTTTCATCTTTAACCAATATTCGTGTTAAACTCTCCCTGTGCCTATTTGTTCCGTCGTCTGTGTTCCTCTCCCTGCAGTTTAACCAATGTGTTGTTTTGCAGAATCCCACGCATGCGCAAATATCATTTTAAAATTAAACGCATCCCCATACATTTACTAACGCCACCATTTTGTTTCGTCGACCGCATGTCGTAGATTTAGTGCCGTAAACCAAAACGTGTCCTAATCTCGTGTCATAAACTCCCCCTTTCTGTAGTGTAGTGTCGCAAAATTAAACGCATGCGCATACCCATTCCTCAATACAATTTCACCGTGGAAGGAAGATTCTCTACTCTCTCTCCCCAAACATAATAACAGTCCAGCTGTAATTCCCCATTTCCCCCTTATAATCAAACAACATTTAACAGCGCTCACAAAACATACAACCTGACTTACAGACAGTGACAAATTTAAGAGACTTTAATCCATCGCAATGGAATCTCTAAGGATATCCGTTAGCATGTAGCACACAACACAATTAGCCTTTAGCCTCTAGCTAACGGCAGCCTACAACATGTAACAAACCCTGCACTGCCCTATCAATTTTAACATATTTATCCTACCGTTTTTGCTACCGGGACTAATGACCATTACACCGAGAAATCAGACCCAATCAAACGCCCCGTCGGACGAGAGTCAAATCATAATTACAATCAGATAAACCCCATGAATCCGAGCTCTCTTTAAGAAAAGAAACCCACCGTCCACCCATTCTATCGTGTAAACGGATTTGTCGGCCCGACATCTAAAATGGCCCCCCCTGGAGGTCTTAAGTGGTACAGTGCCCTAAAGAATGCGCATATCTGCCTTAATCGTCACTTCAATACTTAAATCCTACCGTTTCATGCTCTAAAAACTCCCAATTATCTGCCGTTTCCCCTGGGATAAATTTTAGCCGACTCTAGTTGACCAGCAACAACGCCACCGAGGCCGGGTGATAATGGAACATCCCCTCAATGTACACAAGTCATATCCAATCTAACAAACTCCGAAGCGGTAAGAACACTCACCCTTTTTTCCCTCAGAGAGAGTTAGCCCGGCGATTGACTGAAACACAGAGGAGACGCAAACCAGCCCCACGTTGGGCGCCATTATGTCGTATATGATGAATGGTGGCAATTATCGCTGTCAACAAAGAGTTCGCCATACTGCATCGTGTTAGAGGCTTTTATTAAAATCACGAATCTACAGCATAGATACAGACTCGCGATGTCCGGAGAACGGCTCCCCAGATTGCTATGGCCGTTCTGCCGTCTAATCGTTTACCCCCTATTTATAAACAATGCAAAGGGAGGGGCTACTCCCTTCTTCTGGCCAATCACCAGTCTCCCCTCGGGCGTCACCCTCCAAGCGGCACATTTCAAATAACATCATAAAACCTCCCCCCTCTGGCCTGAACAACCAACATTCCATTCCGTCATGAAAAACATTTAACAAAGACATAATCTTCAGATACGATACATACAACCTTGTGAAGTACGTCCTGTGGCAAATGGCTCATTGGAGGAGCTGCATTAATGGAAGAACATGATGAGTCTGCACACTCTTTTAATATATTACTAATTTAAAAATATATTTTGGGTAATTTCATGTGTCTAAGTCCAATGTCATTGGTGTTCGTCATTCTTACGCAAAGGAAAATATAATTATGAACAAAACAATTAATGAAATCACACAATTCAAAGAAGTTTGTATGGTTGATGAACTCTGGTTTGAGTGACTGTGGCCTTTTTCTGTTCAGATTTTAAGCTGGTGTTACTGCTCCACACTTGTATTACTGCTCTAGCTAGTAACACCAGTGACTATCATTAACAGCACTTTCCTTTTTTGTCTATGTAAGTTATTATCAAAGTTCCTATAAATATGCTATCAACAAAAATAAGCATGAAGTATTGTTACAGTATCTTAACCAAATCCTTTTGTGTTACTTTTGTCAGGTGTGGCCAACTTAAGTGCAGCAGAGAAGCAGAAGCTATACAACAACCCTTTTTTATTTCAGTTGAGTGCTGGGAGAGAAAGTGTAACATATTAATTGGTTGAAGTTGCTTTGAATAATAATGTGTCAAGTCATTGTTGTTACATTATGTGCGGTGTAACAGCACAGGTTATTGGTGTTTTCTATGTTATGTTTTTTTTTTACCAACCTTATTACAACATTGAAAGTAAACATATTAAGGAGAGAATTATTACATTTTGATGTAACTTTTTATTTCTCAATGAAGAAGACAATTTATTTCCACACTGAGGACCACAGCATGTGTGAGTGCTGGCGTGTTGGTGCTGATTGGTACTTTAGCGGTACTTCTCGGACAGAGCCAGGGCCAGGAGGGCCAAGAACTTGTCCACGGCAACATGAATCTGAGGGGTGAACTCCTCGGCGAACAGCATGGACAAGACCACCAGGATGCAGTGGGACAGGATCTGACGAGGGACAAACAGAGCTAAGAGTCAGTACTTTGATTATCCTGAAAAAGTGCAATGGCGCCTTCTGCAAACGCTTAGTATAGGCATAGGCCACTACTACATTGCCCATACGCCTATAGCGCATTATGGGAACATTGGCTATAGTTGTGGTGATAATTACTTTGAAGTTGACGGGGTCAACTCTAAGCATGAAGGCGTGCAGCTCGCTCAGGGTCAGGAGACCACCGGCTAGGTCATCGATCTTGCTCACGGCCTCGTACACGCCACCCATGACGGTGATGCCGTGCTTCCTAACCGGAGCGCCTTTGGGGCTCAGGTCCTTCCAGTGGGCGAAGTAGGACTTGGTCTGGGGGTACACCACGATCAGCCTGAATGGAGGAACGAGAGAAATGATTGGTTAGTGGTAATTGCTCTGTCGAGCATATAAATTACTCAGTATCAATAACATTCTGTATCTGATAAGTGATGCATTTCATCCTCAATTATGCAGTACAGCCTAACTGATGATAAAGTCTCTTTGATCTTTACCTGGCGAGAGCCTCGGCGCCGATCTCGTCAGACCTGGTGGAGACCTTCTCAAAGAAGTCCTTGACGATTACTTTTTCCTTAGCTGACAGGCTCATTTTGACTAAAGGCTCTGTTGTACCACACAAGCTATTTAGAGGGTAAATTAAGCTTTAGAAGGGTCTGAATCTAGACGGACCCTGACACCTCTTTTATGGTTCAAGACATGTCACCAAACCCCACCTCTACTTGTTTTCTATTGGCTATGAGGAGATAATTGAGTAAAATTATCAGTGAGATAGAGCATCAGTTCTGTGAATTTTAGGGTGTTGTCTTGTGTTATCTCTTTCGGCTATATATGGTAGCACAGCAAATCTATATGCATTTGCATAGACTTCTAAGAGCAACCATTGCTAGGCATGGCCGCCATATCTATTAGAGATAAATATAGCCTAGAAACAATTCTCTAAAAACGTCCTTATATTGAAAAGAGGGACTAATATCTTACTATGAAACAGGTATGATCTGTTATGGATATATAATGCAATTATATATTTTACACAATGATGATGAAGACTTATTGCTTGCTATTTGACAATGAGTTAAATATGACAGCTGGGCTGTTCTTATTCAAATAAATCCTACTTTGCACCAATTTCTACTTATAAAAATAGTGCACAATGAAGAAAAAAGGAAAGTGACCGTTTCATAATTGATTGAGTTGCTAACAGCGGAGTTGTGACTTGATATTAGCAGATGGGGGAAAGACAGAATGACAACCAACATTCGATAAGTTCTCAACGAATACAATGATTTCTAGAATGAAGAACCTGATATCGCGATACCGAGGAAATGGTATGTCACTTTCTTCATGAAGTTGTAATGTATGTGGCAGCAAATATATGACTTCTCCTACAGCATCCTGGGGGATGATGAGGAATCATCTAATAGGGAAGAGTATAGACACACTGGAGAGACCTATGGTTATACATGCTATTAGGACGCTTTCATTAAATAAATGTAAAGGCAAAGATATGCCTTTTACTCATAGATTTTCTCAGATAATGTGTGGGCCTACTTTATGTGGTTAAAGATAACACTAGGTGTTGCCATTTTTATATTCTGAAACCCCATGTAGGATCGTAGCTGGAGAGGCCAGCTGCTGCAGGGGCATGCATGGACTAGGTTGCTGTGGTTCATGTCATATAGGCTACTGTAATGATATAGCTCATGTAGGGTTCTGGTGTTGGAAACTTGAATCTCATCCCCTTATAATACAAAAAATGGGACCACTATGTCAACAACAACACATTATGAATATGGGGCAGTTTCCTGCACCAAACAAACTAGCTTTTTCTAAATGTACAAGTGGAGGTCAATTGCATCAAACAAAACGGAAAACAATCTTAGCAGGGGATTCAACATTTCTGGAATTATGTTTTACATTTGGATATCAATAGCACAACAGCTACAGTAAACTCGTGTCAATATAAGGTCAATACTTTTGACAAATGCATATTAACTGTTAAAGACTCAAACGACAATAATGATATTTATTTAAAAAAAATGAATTAGCGCATTTCATCCATGATGCTTTGATGTTCGTTTTATGACCCACTTTTTCTTATTAGTCAATAAATACAGTGGTCACTTCATAGTTTTGTTTTTGTACCTTTTATGTGTTAATAGTCATATGAATGTGTGTCACGTGTTTTACAGCCAGCAACAGTATACAATTCAGCCGGGTCAACTCTGTAGGCTTTTAGACAATGTGCATCCATTCACCAACTTGTTCATGTTGGCTAATGTATTATTTATAATGTGTAAATATGAAATAACCATTGAAACCTTTAAAGTTGTCTTATTATATTAGCCATGCTTAAAGTGCAATTCGTCTAGGCATATATATATACGCACGCAATTACGCACGCATAAAATAAACAAACATAATCAACAAACAGATGCTTCTATACTTCTTTTATTTTTTCATTGAGGAGTGAAACACGTCTCCTCTGTCAGGTATGGAGGACTGACTCTAGTGGTACTGCTTGCCCAGAGCAGAAACCACCACAGACAAGAACTTCTGGAAGGATGCCTGATACTCGGGGGTGAAGGTGGTGCCCATCTTAGCGGCGATGACGATGGTCAGACAGTCAGACAGCAGCTGTAAAAGTGAACAAACCAAAACAGAAGTGAGACGTTTAGAATGTCTTTGGGGGTAGCTTGATCGAGTGGTGTAATTACAAAGTATTGTATACCTTGCACGCACAAAAAAAAGTACACTTCAATGTTCTTTTGTATTTTACCTTGAAGTTGTCGGGATCCACGTGCAGTTTCTCGGAGTGCAGAACGCTCAGCTCCGCGTAGGTGTTCTTTATGTCGTCCATGTTATTCAGAGCTCTCTCCAGACCGCGCAACACCGTGGTGCCGTGCTTAGCGATCAGAGGGTTATTCATGATGGCCTCTGCGTTGTACAGGTTGCCGAAGGCCCCGAAGTACCTCTGGGTCCAGGGGTACACGATCAGACACCTGAGGGGAGCGGAGAGAACAGTGTGAGGCTGAACATCAACATAAAATGATGAAGATGATGAAGATTAAGGGGACTAACACTCCAAATTAAATTAAAGCTAAGCTTATTGTCTTACCTTGACAGGCACTTTTGGCCAACTTCGTCATAGTCTAGCTTGGAGAAGATGTCGGAGATGGCTGCGCGCTCTTCATCTGTCCACTCAACCATGTTTGCTCTTGATGATTTAGCTAAGGTTCTAGTGAGAATCGGAATCATGAACACATTTGTAAAACATCTTTCTTTTTATGGTATTTGTGCACTCCGCCCCCAAGACGAGAAAGTGCATTATGATTGGTTGGAGATAACCCAATACGAAAAAGTTTAATGTGATTGGTTGGATATAGGTCATGTTTTAGATCATAAAGATCTTTGAATGGGTCCTCCTGTAGTTCTACTTACTATATGTGGTTTCCGTGAAACAGCGAGAAAACCGTTGACCACAAATAGATTCTGAAGTGTCCATAAGGAGTAGCCTATTTAGTAACATACACTGCACTACATATGTATTTGGACAGTGAAGCTAGACATTGTAATGTGGCTCTACATTCCAGCATTTTGGATTTAAGATATCATGTTTCATATGAGGCAACAGTAGAAAGAACACATTCATTTGAGGGTATTTTCATACTATCTGTTTAAAATAACCGAAATGAAGGCATATAGTCGTCGTCGTCGTCGTCGTCGTCCCCCCCCCCCCCCCCCCCCCCCCCCCCCAAATTCACTTAATGTGCACAGTCAAACTTTTTGTATTTTGTCCCATATTCCTTGCACGCAACGATTACATCAAACGTGTGACACTACACACTCGTTGGATGCATTTGCAGTTTGTTTTGGTTGTGTTTTGGATTATGTTTTTGCCCTATAGAAACTGATGGTGAAAGATGACTGGAGTAATTGTATTTTTAGCGGGTATGATATTTTTGCCCCTTTAACCCTCTCACTCATCATTATTCATGATTAATTCATGATTATCCATAATATTGGTAGCATCCACATGAATGTAGAATTATTCAGAAACATCTATTTTTACTTACAATAAAAGGCACTTCAAAATGACACAATACATTATTCACCATTCAGGTCCAATTGGGCAAAACATAATCCAAAACACAACCAAAACAAACTGCAAATGTATCGAACAAGTTTGTAGTCACGTTACGTGCTAGGAATATGGGACCAAATACTAAACTTTTAACTACTTTAATAATACGAATCTCCAATCTAAAATGTATGGCATTGGCATTGCATTAGTTTCATTCCAACACTGCCTCCTGAGGGTGCACTTGTGCCATAGTTGATGGGCTGTAATTTCAGATCAATTTGATGCCATAGTTTAAGATTTCATTAGGCCTAATTAAGCTTTTGAAATATACTTTTAGTTACAATCATAGAAATCGGGACCATGCTTTCACACCCTCTGACGTGTTATCTGCAACAAACACGCATCTGTGTAATCTCCTACAACAAGACTCTCCACCCATTAGTGACTCTAAATGAAGCGCATTTGTATTAGGACACTTCTCGAATGTCATTCGTGCCGTGATATAGATGCGTGCGTGTTCATTTTTTAAATTGATAGGACATTCATTTATTGAATCTGTTAATAATCAAAATGTAAATAAGCGTGAATAGAATACAATAAAATAAAAGGAAACACGAAAGGATATTAGGGTTATTTATACTTTGTAGCCTGTATTACATGCCTGGCCCATATCTTTAGATTTTTCACTTCGAGGTAAAAAAAAAAAAATATGTCCTGGACCAGATTATTCAGAATTTGTTTGGAGGCAGGGGATTCTCGTTTACTGTGTAATTTGGGTCATGTGGGTAATTATTTAATTGTGGTGGAAATGCTGTCCCTGGACTTTGGCACCATGTAAAACACTTTCAAATTACAAAAAAATATAGCTGCGAGAAGCAATGAACGGGTTCACAGGATGACAGAAAGAACAGAAGATCAGTTAGATAACAAAGCAAGTGTTCTATCATGAAGGAACTACACTATATATACAAAAGTATGTGGACACCCCTTCAAATGAGTGAATTCGGATATTTCAGCGACACCCGTTGCTGACAGGTGTATAGAGTGTATGGCAGTAGAATGGCCTTACTGAAGAGCTCAGCGACTTTTAACGTGGCAACATAGGACGCCACCTTTCCAAGAAGTAAGTTCGTCAAATTGCTGCCCTGCTAGAGCTGCCCCGGTCGACTGTAAATGCTGTTATGGTGTAGTGGAAAAGTCTAGGAGCAACAATGGCTCAGCCGAGAAGTCGTAGGCCACACAAGCGCACAGAACTGGACCGCCAAGTGCTGAAGCATGTAGTGTGTAAAAATCGTCTGTCCTCGGTTGCAACACTCACTACCAAGTTCCAAACTGCCTCTGGAAGCAATGTCAGCACAATAACTGTTTGTCGGGAGCTTCATGAAATAGGTTTCCATGGCTGAGCAGCCCCACACAAGCCTAAGAAGTGGAAAAGCGTTCTCTGTAGTGATGAATCATGCTTCACCATCTGGTAGTCTGAAAGACAATTCTGGGTTTGGCAGATGCCAGGAGAATGCTACCTGCCCCTATGCATAGTGCCAACTGTAAAGTTTGGTGGAGGAGGAATAATGGTCTGGTGTTGTTTTTCATGGTTCGGGCTAGGCCCCTTAGTTCCAGTGAAGGGAAATCTTAACGCTACAGCATACAATAATATTCTAGACGATTCTTTGTTTCCAACTTTGTGGCAACAGTTTTGGGGAAGGCCCTTTCCTGTTTAATGCTCTTGTGGCTGAATGGAAGCACGTCCCCACAGCAATGTTCCAACGTCTAGTGGAAAGCCTTCCCAGAAGAGTGGAGGCTGTTATAGCAGCAAAGGGGGGACCAACTCCATATTAATGCCCATGATTTTGGAATGAGATGTTCGACAAGCAGGTGTCCACATACTTCTGGTCATGTAGTGTATCTTCCTTGATGTGCAATCAATGAAAGCATTACTATGTTTATCTCTCAATACCTCAAGTATGATGCAACTGAAGTTTAGTCTAGTGCTGTAAGTTGGTTTTATTTTAATGCAACAGGTAATCATTCTTAAAGTCATTAATTAATATATTGAGTTTATATACCAATTATGGGGTCAATTCGACTAATGGTTTATTTTAAGATTTGTGAAATATTTTCAGTGTTAGTGTATTGGTATATTGCAGTCATCTTTGAATCTGGGCCTTTATTTTGTGGAAATCTGTTTGTGGAAATGATTTAAATCTCAGTTAGTGCACTCCAGTGTTCCAAAAATACTTCAATACACTCTCACAGCTGTAATACACTGACTGCCCAAGCAGCAGGACTTACGGTTTCAAATTTTCCAGAATAAAATATCCACTTTTCACTACATTCAGACAACATAAGGGCAACAATATGTGATTATACAGCTTTACTAAGCACGATATTTAACTTTGTTCGTCTGCATAATTTAAATCTAACATTAATTTGCATGAGACAAAGTCCACTTGATCAATAGTTATTGCTCTAGTATCCTATGGTGACACTGGTGCCAATGACATTTATAGTGCCATCAACTGGTCTGGTGCAGCCATCTAAGTTTTCAGTGACTTTATATCCACACATCTTCTAAGGACACATATATAAGGTTTACATACCAGATTTCATGGCTCCATGTCCATCGGTTCATGTTCTTATGCCCTGTTGTGATATGGTGCCTTCTTGTGGTGTAGCGTGGCTGACTTTAAATGAAGCAACTAATCATTCTCAAATTCATTCGAAGCTAATTCATTGAGTCTATATACCAAATCTGGAGTCAATCTGATTAATGGTTCATGAGAAGAAGATTTTTGAAGTATCTTTATCATTAGCATATGTGCTAACTTGCATCTATAGGTACAGTGTGGCCATATTTGAATGCAGCAACTATTCTTGCTCAAAACCATTAAAGATGGATTTCATGATTCTAAATACAACATCTGGAGTGAATCGGACTTATGGTTTATGAGGAGAAGATGATTGCAGATGATTTTTAGCATTGGTGTTAAACATGCAAAGAATGAGTTGTTAATAGTTTCCTTGTTTTTTAAGATATCAATACCAACTTAAGTGTGGTTCTTCTTAGGGACGTCCATGAACGCAATTACAATTTTCACGTTGACCGGCCACTGTGGAGTGGATTTACAGTGGTTTGAATTGAGACTTAAAATCATATTTTTTATTTGTTAATAACTCAGCCATCTTTTGACCAATACCTGAGCTTTTCTAAAAACTATGTTAAGACATATATCATGGGCCTACATTCCACATTATGTCATTTTGGTCCTATTGTTCAGGAGAATAAGACTTTTGATGTATTTCTAGCATATTTGAGCATACTAGCATATGTGGGAAAAACATACAAACATAAATCAAAGCCCCATCAACTCAGATAAAAAGAAGAAAAAAAAGAATCTCTGATGTGCTAATATGCATCTACTGGTGGCCATCTTTGAAAGCATCAACATAATCTTCAAAATTTGGAGTGAATCTGACTTTTAGTCCATGAGATGATTTGTTATGATTATTTTAAGCATTAGCATTACATAGTCAAAAAAGTTCATTGTTAATCGTTTCCTTGTTTTTTAAGATATCAATGCCAAATGTATGGTCATGTCTTTGATGACTGTAAAAAGTTTCAGGTTGATAAGCCATGGTGGAGTGGATTCACAACAGATTTAAATAGACACCTAAAATCAGATTTCCTGATGTATCAATAACTCAGCCATCTCTTAACAATCCCTTAGCTTTTCTCAAACTAAGTTAAGAGATATACCATTGGCCTACATACCGAATTGGTGTCATTTGGACTCATGGTTCATGAGAATACGTTTTTCAAATGTTTAGCAACATTTCCAAGATGGAGGAAAGTCTATGCTGACAGACGTTATGGGTCCATCTGGCAAATTTGTTCAGCATGAGGAAAGACCACTTGCATACAAAGTTTCAATTCTCTAGGTCAAACCGGGCGATGGCTATGAGGGTTTAAGTGAGACTGCTTATAACAGTGCCACCTATAGGCTAATCAGTGTTAATTAACTTGGGCCAATCAGTGTAATTTTGTATATGCCGGATCTCTATGGTAAGACGCATCATACACCCAAGTTTGGTTAATATCGGGCCAGTGCTGTCTGAGATATTGGGTGTGGCTAACTAATGAACGAACGCACTAACGTGCTAATGGACGGAGACAGATCCACAGTCCCGTTCCCGGTTTCAACCTGGGGGACAATAATAGTAAGAATTCAGAGAATAACAATTTAACAGTTTTGCTGTGAACCCATAATAACAAATTATAGGTTTTTCGTTTTAATAAACTGTTATTTAATAGGGAATCATATTACTGCAAAACATTTGTTTTCATAAATTGTACAAAAATACTGGGGGTAGCAATTCATCGGGGCATGGATTCTACAAGGTGTCGGAAGCGTTCCAAAGGGACGCTGGCCCATTTTGACTCCAATGCTTCCCACAGTTGTGTCAAGTTGGCTGGATGTCCTTTGGGTGGTGGCCCATTCTTGATACACATAGAAAACTGTTGAGCATGAAAAACCAGCAGTGTTGTAGTTCTTGACACAAACCGGTGAGCCTGGGGCCTGTTACCTACTACCATACCCGTTCAAAGGCACTTAAATATTTTGTCTTGCCCATTCACCCTCTGAATGGCACACATAAACAATCCACGTCTCAATTGTCTCAAGGCTTAAAAATCCTTCTTTAACCTGTCTCCTCCCCTTCATCTATACTGATTTAAGTGGATTTAACAGGTGACATCAATAAGGGATCAAATCTTTCACCTGGATTCACCTGGTCAGTCTATGTCATGGAAAGAGCAGGTGTTCTTAATGTTTTGTGCACTCAGTGTATGTACTGAATAGATAAGCAAAAATGATTACAAAATATTTTTAATAACTTAAAAGCTCAATTTCTTGTCATTGGTGTTTTCACTTCAAAGAAATTGCAGTTTTGAAAACATACAACCTTGTGAAGTATGTCCTGTGGCAAATGGCTCATTGGAGGAGCAGCATTAATGGAAGAACATGATGAGTCTGCACACTCTTTTAATATATTACTAATTTAAATATATTTTGGGTAATTTCATGTGTCTAAGTCCAATGTCATTGGTGTTCGTCATTCTTACGCAAAGGAAAATATAATTATGAACAAAACAATTAATGAAATCACACAATTCAAAGAAGTTTGTATGGTTGATGAACTCTGGTTTGAGTGACTGTGGCCTTTTTCTGTTCAGATTTTAAGCTGGTGTTACTGCTCCACACTTGTATTACTGCTCTAGCTAGTAACACCAGTGACTATCATTAACAGCACTTTCCTTTTTTGTCTATGTAAGTTATTATCAAAGTTCCTATAAATATGCTATCAACAAAAATAAGCATGAAGTATTGTTACAGTATCTTAACCAAATCCTTTTGTGTTACTTTTGTCAGGTGTGGCCAACTTAAGTGCAGCAGAGAAGCAGAAGCTATACAACAACCCTTTTTTTATTTCAGTTGAGTGCTGGGAGAGAAAGTGTAACATATTCATTGGTTGAAGTTGCTTTGAATAATAATGTGTCAAGTCATTGTTGTTACATTATGTGCGGTTATTGGGGTTTTCCATCTTATGTTTTTTTTTTTTTTACCAACGTTATTACAACATTATTGAAAAGTAAATATATTAAGGAGAGAATTATTACATTTTGATGTAACTTTTTATTTCTCAATGAAGAAGACAATTTATTTCCACACTGAGGACCACAGCATGTGTGAGTGCTGGCGTGTTGGTGCTGATTGGTCCTTTAGCGGTACTTCTCGGACAGAGCCAGGGCCAGGAGGGCCAAGAACTTGTCCACGGCAACATGAATCTGAGGGGTGAACTCCTCGGCGAACAGCATGGACAAGACCACCAGGATGCAGTGGGACAGGATCTGACGAGGGACAAACAGAGCTAAGAGTCAGTACTTTGATTATCCTGAAAAAAGTGCAATGGCGCCTTCTGCAAACGCTTAGAATAGGCATAGGCTACTACTACATTGCCCATACGCCTATAGCGCATTATGGGAACATTGGCTATAGTTGTGGTGATAATTACTTTGAAGTTGACGGGGTCAACTCTAAGCATGAAGGCGTGCAGCTCGCTCAGGGTCAGGAGACCACCAGCTAGGTCATCGATCTTGCTCACGGCCTCGTACACGCCACCCATGACGGTGATGCCGTGCTTCCTAACCGGAGCGCCTTTGGGGCTCAGGTCCTTCCAGTGGGCGAAGTAGGACTTGGTCTGGGGGTACACCACGATCAGCCTGAATGGAGGAACGAGAGAAATGATTGGTTAGTGGTAATTGCTCTGTCGAGCATATAAATTACTCAGTATCAATAACATTTTGTATTTAATAAGTGATGCATTTCATCCTCAATTATGCAGTACAGCCTAACTGATGATAAAGTCTCTTGCATCTTTACCTGGCGAGAGCCTCGGCGCCGATCTCGTCAGACCTGGTGGAGACCTTCTCAAAGAAGTCCTTGACGATTACTTTTTCCTTAGCTGACAGGCTCATTTTGACTAAAGGCTCTGTTGTACCACACAAGCTATTCAGAGGGTAAATTAAGCTTTAGAAGGGTCTGAATTTAGACGGACCCTGACACCTCTTTTATGGTTCAAGACATGTCACCAAACCCCACCTCTACTTGTTTTCTATTGGCTATGAGGAGATAATTGAGTAAAATGATCAGTGAGATAGAGCATCAGTTCTGTGAATTTTAGGGTGTTGTCTTGTGTTATCTCTTTCGGCTATATATGGTAGCACAGCAAATCTATATGCGTTTGCATAGACTTCTAAGAGCAACCATTGCTAGGCATGGCCGCCATATCTATTAGAGATAAATATAGCCTAGAAACAATTCTCTAAAAACGTCCTTATATTGAAAAGAGGGACTAATATCTTACTATGAAACAGGTATGATCTGTTATGGATATATAATGCAATTATATATTTTACACAATGATGATGAAAACTTATTGCTTGCTATTTGACAATGAGTTAAATATGACAACTGGGCTGTTCTTATTCAAATAAATCCTACTTTGCACCAATTTCTACTTATAAAAATAGTGCACAATGACTTGTTGTGACTTGATATTAGCAGATGGGGGAAAGACAGAATGACAACCAACATTCGATAGGTTCTCAACGAATACAATGATTTCTAGAATGAAGAACCTGATATCGCGATACCGAGGAAATGGTATGTCACTTTCTTCATGAAGGTGTTATGTATGTGGCAGCAAATATATGGCTTCTCCTACAGCATCCTGGGGGATGATGAGGAATCATCTAATAGGGAAGAGTATAGACACACTGGAGAGACCTATGGTTATACATGCTATTAGGACGCTTTCATTAAATAAATGTAAAGGCATAGATGTGCCTTTTACTCATAGATTTTCTCAGATAATGTGTGGGCCTACTTTATATGGTTAAAGATAACACTAGGTGTTGCCATTTTTATATTCTGAAACCCCATGTAGGATCGTAGCTGGAGAGGCCAGCTGCTGCAGGGGCATGCATGGACTAGGTTGCTGTGGTTCATGTCATATAGGCTACTGTAATGATATAGCTCATGTAGGGTTCTGGTGTTGGAAACTTGAATCTCATCCCCTTATAATACAAAAAATGGGACCACTATGTCAACAACAACAAATTATGAATATGGTGCAGTTTCCTGCACCAAACAAACTAGCTTTTGCTAAATGTACAAGTGGAGGTCAATTGCATCAAACAAAACGGAAAACAATCTGAACAGTGGATTCAACATTTCTGGAATTATGTTTTACATTTGGATATCAATAGGACAACAGCTACAGTAAACTCGTGTCAATATAAGGTCAATACTTTTGACAAATGCATATTAACTGTTAAAGACTCAAACGACAATAATTATATATATATTTTTTTTTTTAAATGAAATTGCGCATTCCATCCATGATGCTTTGATGTTTGTTTTATGACCCACTTTTTCTTATTAGTCAATAAATACAGTTGTCACTTCATAGTTTTGTTTTTGTACCTTTTATGTGTTAATAGTCATATGAATGTGTGTCACGTGTTTTACAGCCAGCAACAGTATACAATTCAGCCGGGTCAACTCTGTAGGCTTTTAGACAATGTGCATCCATTCACCAACTTGTTCATGTTGGCTAATGTATTATTTATAATGTGTAAATCTAACATCTATATATGAAATAACCATTGAAACCTTTAAAGTTGTCTTATTATATTAGCCATGCTTAAAGTGCAATTCGTCTAGGCCTATATATAAATGGATACAATTACGCACACATAAAATAAACAAACATAATCAACAAACAGATGCTTCTATACTTCTTTTATTTTTTCATTGAGGAGTGAAACACGTCTCCTCTGTCAGGTATGGAGGACTGACTCTAGTGGTATTGCCTGCCCAGAGCAGAAACCACCACAGACAAGAACTTCTGGAAGGATGCCTGATACTCGGGGGTGAAGGCGGTGCCCATCTTTGCGGCGATGACGATGGTCAGACAGTCAGACAGCAGCTGTAAAAGTGAACAAACCAAAACAGAAGTGAGACGTTTAGAATGCCTTTGGGGGTAGCTTGATCGAGTGGTGTAATTACATAATATGTTATACTTTGCACGCATTAAAGAAGTGCACTTCAATGTTCATTTGTATCTTACCCTGAAGTTGCCGGGATCTACGCGAAGTTTCTCGGAGTGCAGAACGCTCAGTTCGGCGTAGGTGTTCCTGATGTCATCCATGTTCTTCAGAGCTCGTTCCAGACTTTGCATCACCGTGGTGCCGTGCTTAGCGATCATAGGGTTGTTCATGATGGCCTCTGCGTTGTACAGGTTGCCGAAGGCCCCGAAGTACCTCTGGGTCCAGGGGTAAACGATCAGACACCTGAGGGGAACGGAGAAAACAGTGTGAGGCTGAACAACAAGATAACATGACGAAGAAGATAGGAGATTAAGGGGACTAACACTCCAAATTAAAGTAAAGCTAAGCTTATTGTCTTACCTTGACAGGCACTTTTGGCCAACGTCGTCATAGTCTAGCTTGGAGAAGATGTCGGAGATGGCTGCGCGCTCTTTATCTGTCCACACAACCATGTTTGCTCGTGATGATTTAGCTTAGGTTCTAGTGAGAATCAGAATTATGAACATATTCGGAAAAATCTTTATTTTTATGGTATTTTTGCACTCCGCCCACAAGACGAAAAAGTGAATGTGATTGGTTGGAGATAACCCATATTTTAGATAAGACATTGTTGAACATTGTTGAACATTGTTGATTGAATGGGCCCTCCTTTAGGACTATAGGCCTACTATCAATTGGTTTACCGTGAAACCATTTCGGAAACCATAAATAGATCCTGACGGTAAACTGCGACATATCGGAGGTATACATATGCAGTAGCCTATTTAGTAATACAGTTCTACTCTCCATTAGTCTAATTTCACCATAATTTTGGTATTTTTAATAATTGTCATTGCATTTGAATGAATTCGCATTGCTAATCATTAATAAGTCACGATGTCTCTTATGATCGCAAAAGAAAAGTATGTATGGCACTGGCATGGCAATCCTGCCTCCTGATGGTGCACTTGTTCCATAGTTGAAATAACTTGTAAAGTTCTAGCAGGACAATAATAATTTTCGTTATTTCATTTCTATTAATCATTTTTTATATATGGTATTTCCTTACACTTTGATATTATTTTGTGTAGATTGTTGACAAAAAAAATACAATTAAATGAAGTTTGAAATAAGGGCATGGGCTGTAATTTCAGATCAATTTGATGCCATCGTTTGAGATTTCAAAGAGTATTTTAAATAATCCCACAGCACCCTCCTCGCACCACTTTCCTGAACTAACACTCTCCCCCCACCCCTTTAGCACTAACCCTGCTGATATTATTGAGGAAAATGTACTTAATATGACTGTGATATGTGGCTGACCCACCTAGCTATCTTAAGATGAATGCACAAACTGTAAATCGCTCTGGATAAAAGCGTCTGCTAAATGACTAAAATGTAAAAATGTCAATTAAATGAAAAGCGTTACAAATAAAATGTTAGTTACAATCCCGAAAATCGGGACCAATCTTCTGACGCGTTATCTGCAACAAACATGCATCTGTGTAATGCATCATTAGTGACTCCACATTCAGCTCCTTTAGGGGGGAGTGGGGTAAATTGATCCATTTCTTTCCAAAAAAAAAGTGGTTTCTTGGCACAACTTACCCCGAGCATGGGACAGGTTAAATTAAGCCCCCTACACATTTCTGTACTGAATGAAATATTACCAATACCTTTCTAAAACCATGTCTATCTTTATTTCCCAATTAAAATCATGAGCTGGCGCACACCCAGATAACATTATTTAGTGTAGAGATGCTGACTAACGGGGAATTAACTGGAAGTTATAAAAACAAAGAGAGTCGCACACTCCAGATGTATAACCTCCCATTAATTTATTGGGTAAAAAACAGTGATGCAGAAACGTTGGTGTTTTTGTACCCAATAAATTACTGGGAGGTTATACATCTGGAGTGTGTGACTCTTTGTTTTTATAGCTCAGTTGGTAGAGCATGACGCTTGCAACGCCAGGGTTGTGGGTTCGATTCCCACGGGGGGCCAGTATGAAAAAAATGTATGCACTCACTAACTGTAAGCTTCTGCTAAATGACGTAAAATGTAAACGTAAAAAAACCCACAATCAAAATAGTTTTTTTGTCTTTGAATCATTTTAAGCATATTTTAACACAGGCTTAACACCTAACAAACACTTTGTACTTTTTAAAAACACTTTTAACATAGACCAGGCCCTGTTGTTACCTCATAATGTATTGCATTATGCCTGAGAAGAAAACACTTAAATATGCTTAGTTTGCGTTGGCTCAAACTTTGCCTCAATTTACCCATTGGCCATTGGCTCAACTTACTCCAAGGCAAACATTTTGTCTATATGCGGTCCCCTGTGGCTCAGTTGGTAGAGCACGGCGCTTGCAACGCTAGAGTTGTGGGTTCGTTTCCCACGGGGTGTTCAGTACGGGAAAAAAATTATGGAAATGTATGCATTCACTACTGTAACTCGCATTGGATAACAGTGCCTACTAAACTGTATAGGACCCCACACAGCTACAAGGATGCACTTTCATGCTAGGTTTAGGACCCCATTTTGAAGCTCATAGAGACGCCAACTGATGTACAGATCAATCTTAAAATGATCTACCTTGGTTTAGATACAAGCATCATAAAACCTCTAACACAATAAATGAAATTCACTTGGCGAAAATTAGTTTTTTGCCATAAATTACTTACCACTTTTTCCATGTGGTTTCTTCCTTCACAGACTCCATGAAATTATGATCTCTTCATAAATACACTGTAAGTGGTTAAATTATTAACAATCGTCATTCCTGCCATGATAAACATGCGTGCGTGTTCATTTCCCCCCTAAATTGTTAAGACATTCAATCAATTAATGTCGTATCAAAATGTAAATCAAATTTAAATCAAACTTTAAATCATTGGTGAATCAAAACATTTGCTGGAGCCACAAAATTATAACAAGGTTATAATTATTTATTATTTATTTATTTGTTAGGTTATTTATACTTTAGTAGCCCATAAAAATAGACTTATTGCAGGAAAATCAAAACTTCACTCTACGCAATGATAGTCAACTTGAAAACGCTTTAGGCACAGTATAATAATAATATAATATGCCATTTAGCAGTATGCGTGCATACATTTTTACGTATGGGTGGTCCCGGGGATCGAACCCACTACCTTGGCGTTACAAGCACCGTGCTCTACCAGCTGAGCTACAGAGGACCACAGCGCCAATTGCTCTCTGCCAGGCATTAACCCTGAGGTTATAGACTACATTTTCACCTCTTTCCGAAGTATACATACGCAATAGCCTATTTATTAATATACCTTCCATTACTTTCGCCATCATTTTGAGGTAGTGAATATGTTTAATTGCATTTGAATGATTTTGCATTGCTAATCTGGTATGCTGATCTAGTCAAGGGCATGGGCTGTAATTTCAGATCAATTTGATGCCATCGTTTATTGAAAGCTTTACAAACAAACCTTTAGTTACAATCCTTAAATTGGTACCAAGTTTCCCGATCCTCTGACGTGTCAGTAGTGACAGACTTGTTTAGTTAGAACCTACTCAAAAATACATTTTTAATACACTTTATACTTAATTGTGGCTTCAACAAATGATATCCATCTGTTGTCAATTAGAAATGTATGGTCCACCTTAGATGGTTTAGTTTATATCAGTATAGTTTGCAACTCTGTCACTACTGACGCTAGCAGGCTATACGCTACATCGACAGGATAGAACGGCAGACTCCGGTAAGACAAGGGGTGGCGGTCTCTGTATATTTGTAAACAACAGCTGGTGCACAAAATCAAATACTAAGGAAGTCTCGAGGTTTTGCTCGCCTGAGGTAGAGTATCTTATGATAAGCTGTAGACCACACTATTTACCAAGAGAGTTTTCATCTATATTTTTCATAGCTGTCTATTTACCACCACAAACCAATGCTGGCATTAAGATTGCACTGAATGAGTTGTACAAGGCCATTAATCAACAGGAAAACGCTCATCCAGATGCAGCGCTCCTAGTAGCCGGGGACTTTAATGCAGGGAAACTTAAATCCGTTCTACCTAATTTCTACCAGCATGTTAAATGTGCAACCAGAGGGAAAAAAACTCTAGACCACCTTTACTCCACACACAGAGACGCATACAAAGCTCTCCCTCGCCCTCCATTTGGCAAATCTGACCATAACTCTATCCTCCTGATTCCTGCTTATAAGCAAAAACTGAAGCAGGAAGCACCAGTGATTCGGTTAATAAAAAAGTGGTCAGATGACGCAGATGCTAAGCTACAGGACTGTTTTGCTAGCACAGACTGGAACATGTTCCGGGATTCTTCAGACAGCATTGAGGAGTACACCACATCAGTCACTGGCTTCATCAATAAGTGCATCGATGATGTCGTCCCCACAGTGACCGTACGTACATACCCCAACCAGAAGCCATGGATTACAGGAAACATCCGCACTGAGCTAAAGGGTAGAGCTGCCGCTTTCAAGGAACGGGACTCTAACCCGGACGCTTATAAGAAATCCCGCTATGACCTCTGACGAACCATCAAACAGGCAAAGAGTCAATACAGGTCTAAGATTGAATCATACTACACTGGCTCTGACGCTCGTCGGATGTGGCAGGGCTTGAAAACTATTACAGACTACAAAGGGAAGCACAGCCGCGAGCTGCCCAGTGACACAAGCCTACCAGACGAGCTAAACCACTTCTATGCTCGCTTCGAGGCAAGCAACACTGAAGCATGCATGAGAGCACCAGCTGTTCCGGACGACTATGTGATCACGCTCTCCGTAGCCGATGTGAGTAAGACTTTTAAGCAGGTCAACATTCACAAGGCCGCAGGGCCAGACGGATTACCAGGACGTGTACTCCGAGCATGTGCTGACCAACTGGCAAGTGTCTTCACTGACATTTTCAACATGTCCCTGACTGAGTCTGTAATACCAACATGTTTCAAGCAGACCACCATAGTCCCCGTGCCCAAGAACTCTAAGATAACCTGCCTAAATGACTACCGACCCGTAGCACTGACGTCTGTAGCCATGAAGTGCTTTGAAAGACTGGTCATGGCTCACATCAACAGCATAATCCCAGAAACCCTAGACCCACTCCAATTTGCATACCGCCCCAACAGATCCACAGATGATGCAATCTCTATCGCACTCCACACTGCCCTTTCCCACCTGGACAAGAGGAACACCTACGTGAGAATGCTATTCATTGACTACAGCTCAGCATTCAACACCATAGTGCCCTCTAAGCTCATCACTAAGCTAAGGATCCTGGGACTAAACACCTCCCTCTGCAACTGGATCCTGGACTTCCTGACGGGCCGCCCCCAGGTGGTAAGGGTAGGTAACAACACATCTGCCACACTGATCCTCAACACGGGGGCCCCTCAGGGGTGCGTGCTCAGTCCCCTCCTGTACTCTCTGTTCACCCATGACTGCATGGCCAGGCACGACTCCAACAC